AGGCTCGGAAGGAAAAAACTAGAAACCGGGCCTTCTCGGTGGTGGCCCCTCGGCTGTGGAACACCCTTCCAACAGAAATTCGGCTGGCACCCTCGCTGGGTGTTTTTAAGGTAAAGGTAAAAGGTAAAAGTTCCCCTTGACAATTTTTGTCCAGCCGTGTTCGACTCTAGGGGGCAGTTCTCATCCCCGTTTCCAAGCCATAGAGCCAGCGTTTGTCTGAAGACAATCTTCCGTGGTCACATGGCCAGTGCGACTTAGACACGGAACGCTGTTACCTTCCCACTAAGGTGGTCCCTATTTATCTACTTGCATTTGCATGCTTTCGAACCGCTAGGTTGGCGGGAGCTGGGACAAAGCGACGGCTGCTCACTCCGTCGCGTGGATTCGATCTTACGACTGCTTGGTCTTCTGACCCTGCAGCACAGGCTTCTGTGGTTTAGCCCGCAGCGCCACCACGTCCCTTGGGTGTTTTTAAAAGACAGTTAAAAACTTGGCTTCTTAGGCAGGCCTTCCCTCCAGTCAGCTAAGTCTTTTTTAAAATTTCTTCTTTGCTTATCCTACCCCATCTTGGTAATCCTTTCTTAAATTAATTGTTTTAACTAAGATAGTAATTGTATTTTTTGATTATATATATTTTATATTGATATATTTTAGGTTGTAAGCCGCCCCGAGTAGACATGGTCTAGAGGGGCGTGGTATAAATTTAATAAATAAATAAATAAATAAATAAATAAGATAGCTCACATTTGCATATTGCTGCTAGGAAAATCTACCCCCTTCCCTCCTGCTTTATGGACTTAAACTAAGTTTAGAAGGAAAGGAGAGCCTGAGTGGAGTGGCAGCTTATGTCCTTCAATTTCAGCCCTTTGAGCTCCACTAAACATTGGAAGAGAATAATGTCAGAATGTTCTTTCAGCAGGAAAAACAGGCTGCTCTAATATGAGTTTGCTGTTCTACTGTTAATGCTGCTTATATGAAAGAGCTGGTTTCATGGATATTTCGCTCTAAATGTCTGCTGCCTAGAGTATCATGTTAAATGTCTCTTCATTTCTAACATACTGGAAAAGAGCTGATTTAAGAGCCCAAACCCACTTCCATATGAATCCCTCAGAGAACAGTATAGGAGAAGGATGATCTGAGTCAGCTGCAAACAAACCATTCTAGTGACATTTGCATTTTTTTTAAAAAAAATATTCCATTGCTGACATCATTGGCTGTGCCTGCCAAAAGGAAAAGTGGAGAAAGATGTGAGATACACTTCTCAAGAGATTCTAAAGGGTCAGCTGTTACTCAGAACACACATGGTTGCAACAAGATGGGATTGTCTATGGATTCTTCTCAGTTCTAAGACTGAGCCATATGCATTACAACAGCAACCTGGAAGACACTTTGAATTGCCCCATGAGGTGGCTCACAACTCAGCAAGCTGCTATGTGTACAGCAATTCCTTCAGCAGATGTGTGTGTGTGTGTGTGCTTGCTTTTTATTAGAGAGAGAACATTGCCATGTTTGTGTGGTGAACCACAGCAAACGATGACAGCTCACTGCATGATGACAACCACCCTGTGGAGTGAGCTACAGTGACTTCTGTGAGGTGGCTGTAATGCTGGCCTCTGCAGCATGTTACCCACAAAGCTGAACGCAACCCACCAGACATATGTTGTGGCTTGCAGTGCCGGCTATTTGACAAGGCCGAGGCTTACCCTGTCTTAGGCAAGCTTGAAGGCAAGTGTTTCACTGAGTCTCTAGTGCGGAGGTGGGCTACCTGCTCTCCTCCGTCTAATTTCACACACCCTTGGCTGACTTGCACAGTTCTGTAAGTACTTATTTGGAGCTTTGGCAAGAGTTTTATGTCTCTTCTCCAGCACTGCGCTGGACGGGATGATTTTGAGAGAATTATGGCTGTGTATTTGTGAGGAAGAAAGGGACTCCAACAGATGTAGAGAAAGAAGAGGCAGAGAGAGGGAGAGAAAAGGAAGAAGAGAGAGAGATAAAAGGGAAAAAAGGAGGACATCAGATAAAGAATGGTGGGGTTAAAGAAAGAGAGAGAGAGAGAGTATAGGGAAGATGGAGTCGAAGTTGGAGTCAGAGAGAGAGAGAAATTGAGAGAGAGAGAGAGAGGTGGCTGTCGCAGAGATAATGGGAGGAGATTAGGGAGAGAGAAGGAGACAAAGAAAAGGGGGCAGTCAGGGACAGTGCGAGAGAGAATAATGATGTCAGAGTGAGAATAGGGCAGTCAGGAGAAAGCCAGAGAGAATGTGGAGAACTCAGAGCGAAAGTTAAGTGGTTGACCCTGTCCAGCGATGACATGTCATTTCCTAGAGAGAGTTTCCAAGGGAACACATCTTTCAATACAAAAATTTTTTTCCCACCTCAGATCTGGTAGTACAGTATACATGACTGATGGATGGACATTACATCTTGTGTCAGGCCAGCACATTTGCTTTGTCCGTTTGCTGGAGCACTCCTCACTCCCAACTACACTATTCTTTGAGCTGTCTTTCACGGCTATTTTGCACCTTGCTTTGTAGTGTCATTTCAAAATACATTCCTTTAGATAGACATATATTATTTATGGTCTCTTTTCCCATGTTTCTAATGGCCAGTGTTTTCCTAGTCATTGATTTTTTGCCTGTGAGAAAGCAGGGGTGCCATAGAAATCTTTCAAGCTTCTTGTTTTGCAGCCATAAATAGGCTGTAAAGCCAACTTCCTGCCACCCTTGATGGGTCACTTTACAAGACTGGTGTATGTGTTCAACCTAATAGCTCTGAAGCTGAAATATAGGCTACGTTGGATTGGGATTATGGGAATTGTATTGCAACGCATCAAAAGGGCACCAGTTGGGGAAAGTTATGCTCTATAATGCTTGCATTTTAATTTACTGTAACGGTTGAAAGGTTGTTTTTCTTTCTCTTTCAGGAAGTAGAGATGAGTGTGGTAAAGATATAAAACACACCCTTCTGAATAGAGATAAAATATCTTGTTTTTATATCTCATCCTTTTTTCTTTATCCTTTCAGTCTTGAATTATAACTTGACAGCGGATGTGGCAAAGAAAGAAAAAGGTAATCCCATCAGGGTTTACTTTGTCTCTTCTGGAGAAGCAACAGGCCAGATCGTAGAGAAGTTGCAACTGTCCTATATGCAGGAGAAATGCAAGCACTACCTAGTTTATGTAAAGGTCAGTCCATTTATTTCATATGAGTTTAATACTGTTTCCTCTCCTTATGTTGGTTTAAAGTCACTTATTGCTTAAAGTCTGCATGTAGTTATTCTGTTAAAATGCATTTAGTTTTTTATCATTCACATTAATAAAGCCAAAATCTTAGGCATATGTACTTGGGAGCAAGTCCCATTGAACAAGTTCCGGGAAGATGTGTATAGCAGATTGAACATGGGAAACATGGCTTTAGGTAAAATTAGTGGAAAAAATGCTGAAAATGCTGGGAAGAAGGGATGTATCCACAACTGGTCCTTAGTCTCACAGGAGGAAGAGAGGTCTGGATTCCACCTGCAACAACCATGTAACAATTGGTATATTGACTTACAACAAATGAGTGATATTGGAAGACCGTCAAGTAGTTACATTTCTTTCTTTCTTTCTTTCTTTGGTTCTGTTCTGGTCATGCTTATTCTAGGGCACTGGCTTGAACTCCGTGTACTTAGCTTTCTTTGGCATTCTGCACAGTAGGAATCCAGGAGGCAAACTTAGTTGTTAGAGACCACCAGGGAGCTGATTATCTGCTGTAAGGACCAGTAAGAAGTAACCCTCATCCTAGTAATGTTCTTCATTTGAAAGCTTCTTTCATGATAGCTGTAAAGATTTTTCTTGTCGACAACTGGAACAAACATGAATAAATTCATTCTCTTTTTAATGCTTTGAATCGGATTTTCTTGTTCGCCATCATGCACTGATGAAGTTCCTTTAATGACAATGACTTGACTCATGAGTATGTGGGTCTTCTTCCTATTTGTAGCCTCTGACACCCTTGCCTCTATACCATCAAATGTACTGTGTGGAAACAGTACACATGTTCTCCCTAGACCTCGTTTTGAAGGTAAAAGGTGGCTCTTTTGTAAATATATTTTGGCAATGAAGCGCTGGCAGTGGAAACAGAGACCAGCCTCAATTGAGTGGGGATGGGCCCAGGTGGCTACTTTCTCTCCCAGAAATTGCCCACTCCAACCAAAGCCTGATGGATGGGCCAGGGCATGCCTCTGTTACTCAGCAGACTAAATTAAACATATTCCTCATTTTTAGAGGTTGTGTTGTGAAGATATTTCCTTCTTAGGAAAGCTCTGCAGGTCTCATTAGTATCCCCCCCCCCAAAAAAAAAAACCACATATATTTTGTCAGTTTGGCAATTGTTTTCTTTCCAGATAATTCTTTTAAAATGATATATTTGGAGGAGATAAACAATTGCTGGTTGAATTCTCTTAGACATTTTATTTCTTTCAGTAACAAGACAAAAGAGAAACATTTCAATGTCATGTTGTTAATCCTTGAAGTGAGGGAGTGACTTCTGCCATACAGCATTATTTTTTAGAGTGCTGGATTTATTTCTTCCCATACTATGAAAATGGCAAGAATGTTCATTTCTTTGCTTAAGGAAGGATGTGAAATGATTGGGATGATGAACTTGGATAGCCTGTACCCCAGTGGGAGGAAGTGTTTCTTGGCTGTTTAATGTTAGGAACATGAGGAGCCTTGAACATTCAAGAGGACTAGATGAAGGGGTCAAGATCACTTAGTGTATATCATTTCTCCTAGTAAAAGAGCCAGGGAGACAAACATTCTCTGAATACCTGCTTTACTTGTTTAGCTGACATCAGACGTTTTTGGTTTATAATGCATCCTCAGATATTTTGTTAACTTTTATATTCTCCCTATTTGACTTTGTTTTTCAAAACACATTTAGTGTAAAGTTTCGCTTCCTTCTGAATGTCCATCTGTGCTATTTTGTTTCCCCTGTTGTTTGTTTTAACATACACCAACAATAGAATATGTCTGTTGTTTCTTTCCCTTCCCTTAAAGTATGCATGTGTTCAATATGAAGCTGGAGTAATGGACCTGATTATACGGATTGTCCGCCTAAAATAGGGAATGGATTCCAAGGGGCCATGTGCAGGCTTCTGGACATGCACTGGGATTTCTCAGGTCTTGTCTCTGCTTAAATGGCTTTACAAAGCTCATTCCTTTAGACACAGCTTCCTGTTGTTTATCCATTTACAAGAAGGAGAAAGAGATTAAAGGGCTGGTTTCTGTGTTCTGGTTTGTATGGGAGTAATCCAGTGATATTAGTCAAAGAACCATCTTATTTTCAACAGAAAATAAGATTTCTGTTGAAAACAAGTACATGTCAAGCCAATAGGAAGCTGAACAAGCAAATCCAAGGCAACTAATAGCAATTAATAGAAATAACAATAACTTTTGTTTTTTCATCTTTAGAGAAAATGCATTTAAATCAGTGGGGCTCAAGACTCATGACTGGTTTGTTCCATTTAATCTAATGGATTTTCTCTAAGCATTGGATCCAATTCTTGTGGTGAACCTGTAATAGTCTTTCTTATTATTTGCGCTGTTGCATGTGCTGGACATTCCATGCAACTGCTTTTAATTCGTTTTGGGGAACAAGGGAGAAGGCAGAGCTGAAGAGTTTAACGCTCATGCACATACTGTTAGGGAGGATGTAGGTAATATCCCACTAATGGCTTAGTTAACCTACCTTCCACCATGTTGTTGCATTGCATCCCTATGCTTTATGCACACATGCACATACTGTTAGGGAGGATGTAGGCAATATCCCACTAATGGTTGTTGCATTGCATCCCTATGCTTTATGCAATCAAAAGGGGAAATCTCAATTTTCTGAGCTTCTGTCCAAAGCTAGACATTTAACGAGAGTGGATATTAGAAGTACAGTTTTGAAACACATTATGTTCATTTCTTACCCATATGGTGTAATAATACATTCTTACCAAACAGGATATTGTTAAATTAAATGGACCATGTGTGTCTTATAATGTAAGATCCTATAATTGCTTTTATTGGATTAGTTCTCTTCCTGGTTCTTTACTAGCATTTTGCAATCAGGATTTTGTATTGTTTGTGCTGTAGAATGGATGCTGCCAGTTCTTCAGTCCTTGCACTTCTGAAAGCAGCCTTGATCACATTTCAATTTTGAATGTTTTTGATAATTTGGGAGTGTCATTGCTTGGGTATTAAAAGGATACACTTCTTATATATGTATGTTTATATTATTATTGAAAGACGTGAAACATCAGTTCTAGCTTCAATGGGGGGGGAACGGTATCAGTTTAGAAAACAGGAATAGTCAGGGTTTGTACTGTATGTATGTATGTATGTATGTATGTATGTATGTATGTATGTATGTATGTATGTATGTATGTATGTATGTATGTATGTATGTATGTATGTATGTATGTATGTATGTAT